AAATGTAATAAATGCATTAAAGAGAATAAGAACAGATTCATAAAGGTCATAAAATCGTTAATGATCTGAGCTCACTGAATCACTGGGGGATTCAGAGTAACGTAATGATAATATAAGGGTGATAAAAATTGTTATAAGTCGTTATAAATACTTGTTTGGAAATATATTATTTCGATGTCATTATTTGATAACACTGTATGACTGTTATCTGTTATTCTGTTTCTGCAGAATGTCTGAATATATACAGAAATGTGAAGCCTATTTGACAACACTACCCTTATCGGGGCGGAGCTACGCCTGCTACCACTACCAGCAAGGCTCCTGTATGATATCCTGAAGATACGGGATGTAAAAAGTATTTTTAAAAATAAAAGCAATGCGAGACAAGCAGCTTCCATATTCACTCTTCGCTGCTTCTCTTCTCCCCTTTTCTCTCTCTTTTTTTTAACGAACCACACTTTACTCGCAACGCAGAAGAAAGAATGAACAATTCAGTACACAACAACACATTTTCTGCGAGTCGACAAGCAACCTGTGAACAAATCAATATTTTAAAGACAACACAATACACTACGTCATATGACAGCTATTAAACAAAATATCTCCAAATAAAAGTTAACATAAATGACTCTTTGCATTACTGTTGCTCTTTTCCCTTCTGGAAGACGTAAGTAATGATTGTAAGCACAATGGACAGCGTTATCAAATAATGACATATAGAAATAATATATTTCCAAACAAGTATTTATAACGGCTTATAACAATTTTTATCACCCTTACATTATCATTACGTTACTCTGAATCCCCCAGTGATTCAGTGAGCTCAGATCATTAACGATTTTATGACCTTTATGAATCTGTTCTTATTCTCTTTAATGCATTTATTACATTTTCTATTACACAGCTTTCACTGTTTTCTTTTGTAATACTTGGGTTACAAATATAACCATGGAATATGCAGGGGTTGTTTTATGGGGATCTCCAGTGGCGCCTGGTCGGTGGTAGAAGACGTAGCTCCGCCCCGATTGGGGCACTGTGGTCAAAACAGTGTCAATATCTTGTATATATATTCAGGATTTTTGTATATATATTCAGACTTTTTGTATATATATTCAGGAATTTTGTATATATATTCAGACTTTCTGTCTATATATTCAGACTGTCTTTATATTCATTCAGACTTTTTGTATATATATTCAGGAATTTTGTATATATATATTTAGACTTTCTGTATATACTGTATATTCAAAGATTAATTTCCTAAACGGCAAGCCATAATATATATATATATATATATATATAGTATATACATATAGCACACATAGGTCTGTTTGCATTAACACTGTTGTTAACTAAAATTAAAAATGGGTGAAAGCCTGACATTTCCTCTGCAGAAATTAACCTTGTTAACATAAAAAAAAACACCTGTAATCTGTGTCCCAAAGCTATTAAAACTCCAGCAGACGTCAAACTTGACCAATGTCAGGAAAAGGTTCAAACAGCAATATACTTGTCTATCTTGTGGACACTCATCTTGCAGTAGTAATATGAAACGAGTATAAATTAATCTGGTGGTGACTCCACCTTGGTGATGTAGTTACACGCTCAACCTGAGGCATGGCAAGCTAATCCTCATCATCTAGGTGTAATTATAGTGGATGGACATTACTAAGACACCATAGAGGAAGCAGGTTGATGAATGTCACTAACATTAACAAATGACAGGTCCTGGATGTGTTTAATGTTGTTTAATGTAAAATTTAAGATGGAGGATGCTATGATTGCTGTTTACAGTGTGCAGCATATGAAAGACGACACCTTTTTTTTTTACAAATGGTCATAATTTCTTTTGCCTTTTTTATCTGCCTCAACATTATGCTGTAACCCCCCCCCCCAAAAAAACAAACGACCATTAGTAGTCTGTTTTCTCTTAGAACAGGTTCTCGGTTCCCCTCCCTAATTCCAATTTAATCTAATTAACCTCATCTAATTGCAGGTTAACAATGTAAGAGATAAGAGACTAAGTCACAAACAGCTATAAATGTATGATCCGCTCGACAGTTGTAGGCAGTTGTGTCGTGTGGAGTGGGGGGTAAACATGATTTCAAACAGGGAGAGGGGACCCCAAAAATATTAGAATATTAAATTAATATATACAGTACATTGGGGTCTAACATCATGCCCATCCATGGGGGCCAGGATTTTATGGCAGTGTCCCAGGTGGTGGGAACTTTTTTAAATAATAATTTGTAACATCTGGACAATTACAAATGTGACAATATTGACGTTTGAGGAGAAGCAGGTGGACAGTCTGCATCAGGATAATGAGTCTGTCAGTGGTTTAATACAGTCAGCCAGTCAGCCACATAGTCAAGCAGGCAGGCATCCAGCTCTCTAATTAATCCATCAGTTTTGTTGACATACCTTAATCTAGTGACTCATTCATTCAAAAAAGACTGATGGGAAATAAGGCAGCAGTTAAAGTCATCAAACTATGGTGACCTAAATTGAAAGAAAAGTGTTGCAGTGTTACAGCACTACTGTATCAATCATGATTATAAGTATATAGGAAGTTAGTCATACTTATACAGGCTGTCTGCATTGTGTGGAAACAACATGAAGCCTTTGAAGGGACAGTACTTTCCCTGATCTAGAAGTTAGAATCTATGAAGCTGCACATTTGCAGTCTGAGTCATTTTTCAAATACATTGAATCTTTGAGTTTCTTGGCTCTTTTTAGGTTGTCATGTGGGGGGCACTTGAAAGCTTCCATGAATAATGCTTTGAAAAGGACCTCATTTTTGATGAAGTAAAAGAAAGAGAAAGGTTTATATTTCCTGAAAGCCACATTGAAGGGATTCAAACCTGATGATATGTCTCCAAACCATGACACAAATTCTACATTTCTTTGTTGTAAGTCACAATATACATTTAAGAAATTACTTTTATTTAGAAAACCTGACACATATATAGAGTATATGGTGCTGATGTTAGAAATACAGTTTGTATGAAGTAATAAAAACATTGTCAAAACATATTTATGGTATTTTACATATATGCAGTATATGACATATTACTTAGTGGCTGGCTGCATGTTTCTTTCCTCAGTGGTGACAGGTTGAGTCTTTTTTTTTACTAAAATTAACGTTGATCAGAATCCAGAAACTTTATTGTATCTTGATAGACTTCAGAAATCATGAGCTGTCCTGAATCATATATAAACAATATTTTTACAGTACTATGTGATGTAGACTGTCTTTGTGGAATGCTAATGAAGGTCTCTTGCACCACCTGCTTCTTTGCCTCAAATGAGAAAATAAAATCCAGTTCCTTTTAGAAGTTCTTTCTGTTTGGGAACAGTCAAAAACCTAATGTTACAAGTTAAAACAAATGTTCCTAAGCTTCAAAAGATCCATCCAGGTTTAGTTAAATGTTTGATGTGTCCTCTCGATAAACACAGTGAACACAGCCCAACATAATTATAATGATCAAACATGTCAAAGTGGTGGGAGACGCTTGAGAGCTAAGGTTCAAACATGTTTTAGTTAATAAATCAGACATGTTTAAATAATTGCATCTGTCATAGATCTATTGAATATACCTTGATTCTTACGTATAAATATTCAGACCATGTTTATACATATATACGCAGTTAAAATGTATTGATTAAAATGCTGACATTACAAGTTCATGTAATAAACAATCTTTACATAAAAAGAGCTACTTGCTCAGTTGTAGATGAGCGGATCATAACTCAATTAGCTCAAACGGAATTTCCCTGTTGAAATTAATATTTCATAAAGGTACTCGTTCTGCAGTAGATTTTCTTCCTGGTGTCCTAATTAGCTCTTTACAGACTTTGCCAGGATGAAGCCCAAATTCCCCAAATTGCTCCTGCTGGTGAAATCCTCAACAGAGATGATGTTTTAAAGGCATTTTAGGATACTGAAGATGTAGTGCTGCATATATTTGGACATTCAACTCTTAGTATAGTAAAGAATGTACTGTAAAATTGTCAATGCTATAAAGATTAAAATGTTTAATGTCTGGGCGTCTGCACTGTGTAATATAATTGATAATAACATCCTTCGTCATTTACTCAACCAAGTTTATTTTTTTCACATGAAAAATCCATCCTAGAAGTATTTGGGAATTTTATTTAACTGAAAACAAGCAGAGGGTGCTACCAATACATTTTTGAAGACTTAAAAGTCATCACAGACACAGAAACAGAATGATGCTGGAGGCCAGAAGAGCAGAAAAAGGGAGGTGGTAGTGGTCATTTCTGGCAGGTAACAAGAAGAAACAGTGAGGCTGCAACCGCTCACAGATCCAAGTATTTGTTACGCAAATGTGAGTCAACAATGTCATTATAATATGAATGCAAGGTGTAGCTTAACACAGCAGCTTAGCACAGAGTTGAAGAAAGTAGACAATAACATTGATATAATGCTGTGAATGAACATTTATTTGTTTATTTATCAGGTCAGAGTGTCGTTTTTTGTTTGTTTTTTTGTGGCTAATTTGAGGCATTTAGCCTTTTTACTGCAGCACAGTAGGACTTTAAAGGACGGGCGATAAAAGCTGTTGATTATTTCAAATTTGAACTTTTTTATTGTAACATGCTCCATGCAGAATCATTATGGGGTGGCCTGTCAACATTTGTACATCCTGTTGATTGAAGGTGTTTTCTAATAATTTATTTTAACAGCAGGGTATGTTATTTAAGACATAACCAACTGAACTGAACACAGAATTGTTATCACAGGACAAAAACCCCTTTGGGTTTAGCTCCTGGCAGAACACAAATCCTCAACCCTATCTTACCTTATGTACTGTATATCTGTACATGTAAACATCCGATCTTCTGTTTAATCCCTAATGCAATCTTTCACAATCTCCTTCTTTTTCTTTACATCAAGGAAGTTATGCTATCTAAAAGTTTCCTCATCGTTTTTTGCGGTAATTACATTTCTAATTTTCTTGTCTTTTGTCCTGCAGGTGGCGAGGTGCCCTATACAACTCTGGCTACAAGGATGATGATGGGTGTTTGGTGGATGTTTGCTCTGATCGTCATCTCATCGTACACAGCAAACCTTGCAGCATTCCTCACCATCACACGTATAGAGAACTCCATACAGTGAGTAAAACATTCAATCAATTTTCTACTCTTTGTGAAACGTATGCCTGTATCAGTCAGTTTTTAAAAGACATCATTAGAGGGAAAAATTAAATAAAAAAGGGAGGTAAATTTGTGTTTTTTTAGAGATCATCAGTTTTGGGTTTTATTGAACCACCGTGTCATCCTCTAAAATAAGAGTGTTTACTGTTTGTTGGTAACTGTGCTACCATTGCAGTGCAGTTCGTGTTTGAGCCCTTACTTTGTTTAGAAATGGTACCTTATCAGTGTCTGCAAATTTGAACATGAAGAAGCAATAACAGTTTCTGTTCTTTGCTGAAGAAGCTGTTCACACTCTTCGCTCAGTGCTCACTGGGTAATTTATGTGATGTGCCATCTAGTGGTCACCTTGTTGATTTGGTCCACTGATAGACAGACAGACAGGCAGACATATGAAAATGCAGGCTGGTGGTCTGGGCATTGCTGCCTGACGCACCTCCACCAGTGCCCTTGTGCTGGCGTGCTCATCTGAACACCTCCCTGGGCCCCACTAGTGCCTGAGTGTCACTAGTGTTGCCAACTTACCTCAAGGGTGATTTTCTTTGGTATGATCAAGGGGTGGGGATTAGGGCTGTGGCTGGGGCATTATTGGGGTCATCCTTATATTTACCTTCAGGGTTAAGGGGCTGAGGTAACTCCAGGGCATAGTCGATGAGTTGATGGGGGATCTGCCCTGGATGACTGCAGAGTGTTCTACACACCCTGGGAATTGTACACAGGTTTCTGGCAGCTGGTGTCAATGTACCTGATGCTAGTCAGGAAGTTGGTCAGCCTCTTGGCCAGTACGGAGAAAAAGATAATTCCTTCCACATTCAGGAGTGTGATGCTCCTGAACTGGCTAGATGGTGGTGGATATTGCCTCCTTCGGGATAAAAACTGTAACTGCCCTTTGCCATTCTGAGGGGATGGCTTGGCTCTTCCAGGCCACCCTCATGAGGTTCCACAGAAGTTTATAGACCCTAGGGCAATACTTGTACAGTTTGTAAAGTATCCCGTTGGCGCCTGGGGCTGAGGCTGCTCTTGCTTTCTGAACATCTTCTGCGACCTCACTCACCTTAGGGAGAACAGCATCGAATGGGAAGGATGGGGGCCGGGGCGAGGAACGTAACCAGGAGATCTCAGCGGAGTTGATCTTGCTGGGTCACTGTATTGCTCCCTGAAGTGATCCTCCAGCTCCGATTTTGTGATCCCCAGCTTCCCGCTTCTCTTGTCCTCTAGAAGCTGTCTTGCATGCTTGAAGGCATTTTTGTAGAAGTTGCTCCTCTCCTTTTCCTTCCGCCTCCTGTGTTTCTGGATGCACTCTGCCCTCTGCAGGCTGGCAAGGTTCTTCTTCACCTCCTCCCACAGTGGTTTCAGGTCCTCCTTCTCCTCTTCACCTGCTTTCCTCCACTGCTTTCGGATCTGATGCCGCCTCTTCACCAACTGCTCGATCTCCCTCTCCCTTTGTCCCTTCTGCCTTTGCCCTACGGTCTGTCTTACAGCCATTACTCCAAACCTACCTCTACACTTCCCGTACAGGAAGTCTCCAAAGCAGTTTAGCTTGGTCTCTACTTGGCCACGTAGTGAGTGCTCTAAGATGCTAACCAGGTCTGTGTCCAGCTGTTGCCACACTGCCACCTTGTTGGCTTTGGGCTGCCTTCCTCTCTGTCCTCTGGCCTGGTTCCTGGTTATGGGGGTTTTGTTGTGTTCTAAGGTTCGTTGGTGTTTTGGGGGTATTCTCCTCAGTGCCACTTTCAGAGGAATAGGTATCCACCAGGGGTCCTTCTGTGTCCTCCGCTTGCCTTCCTTCAGCAGCATTGGAACCCTCAGCGCCGTGGTTAGTGTTGTCGGCATGTTCTTTTATTGGATAATGAAGAGAAGCAATCAGGTTCCAATTGAAGCGGTCTTTATTTGCAGAGCTCTGGGTTGTTATGCTTGTGTTACAGGATGCGCATCGACAGCCAAATTCTAATTCTAATTTCCATCCCCTCCAGTACACCGAGTGCATACTTTTATATCAACAATACATATTTTCCAAGAATGAATGTACAATACATATTTTCCAAGAATAAATGTCTATGTGGGTTCTAAAGTGTATCTTCCAAGAATTAATGTCTATCTATTTTTTGTTTTTGTAATTTATGTTTGAGCCAAAGCATCTTTTCCACCTCACCTAAGTGGTGGTTCTTGAAGTGAGTGCCATTGTCTGAGCTGATTAGTCTGGGGAAGGCATGTGTTGGAATGTAATGGTTCAGTAGGTGTTTTATCACTGATTGTGCCCTTTCCTTTTTACAAGGATAGGCTTCTGGCCATCCCGAGTAGCAGTCTACAATCACCAGGAGGCACCTGTACCCCATGACAGTACTCCCCATGTCAGTGTAGTCCATGACTATCTCCTGTCCGGGGCTCATCAGTGTCCGTCCATGATGTCCTGGTGTCGGTTTAGAAGTCGGTTTGACATTGTGTTTTTTACACATTTAGACAGTCTGTGCAGATGGATGGAAGGAAAGGGTGCCACCAGCGTTTCAGTCTACACTTTATGTTTCCATACGTGTGTCGGTCCATGTGCTTCATGAATCAGTGAGAGGAGTCGCCTCTGTGATGGTACTGGCTTACCGTCTTTTTGCCAAAGTCCATCGCACATCGCTGCTCCCATTTGTTTCCACATTGATTTTTCCTCTGGGGAGGCTTCTGCCTGCCACCCTCGGATTGCCTGTATGCCTAATGTAGGTGCTTCCTCTGAAGTCACCATCATTTGATTTTTCTGGTTCAGAATGTAGCCAGCTGCATTCATGGCTGCAATGTCAGCTGCCTCATTACCTTTTGAGATCCAATCACTACCCCCTGTGTGTCCTTTACATTTCACCACAGCGACTTCAGTGGGGAGCAAAAGACATCTGTGTAATTCTCTGATGTCGTCAAGGTGTTTTATTGGTTCTCCTGTTGCCAGTTCTTTGCCATTCTTGTAGGGTGACGTGGATAACTGTAAATGCATCTGCTGAGTCAGTGAAAATGGAAACCCTCTGTCCTACTGCTTGTTCTAAGGCTTTTGTGAGGGCTACCACTTCTGCTCTTTGTGCTGACTGTTATCCTGTTTGTCGTGGCACCTCTGCTGTTTCATAATGGTGTAGTGAGGTCATCTATACGACTGCATATGATGAGACTAGTCATGTGTCTGCTTTGAAACAGCATCCGTCTGTAAACAATTTCATGTCAGGATCAGTCAGAGGTTCTGAAGTTAGTCCTGGCCTGACCTGTGTTTGTGTTATCATCCTGTCTGCACACAAATGAGGTTCTCCTTCTGTTATGTTTTCTGCCATGTTGATTCCCTCATGTGTGAATGTGAGGTTAGGCTGAGTGAGAATTGCCTCCAGTTTCAGCTGTCTCTGTGCAGTCATGGTGAATGCTTTACTGGTGACGTACTGTACAACACTGTGGCCTGTCCTTACTGTTAAGGGGTGATGTAAAACCACATGAGCTGTTTTGAGAATGATTCTGCCTGGAGCTGAGGCAAATGCTGCGCAAGGTGGATGACGTTTTTCATAGTTGTCCATTTGTGTTGAGCAACTGAGCAAACTGCTCGTGTACCATCCCCCTTTTTCTGGTAAAGCACCGCGGAGACGCTGTGTGTTTTAGCAGAAACATCTAGGAAGAATGGACGTTTGTAGTCGGGTGTAGCCATATCAGCGGCGGAAGAGAGAGCTTGTTTCAACCTAATAAAACAAGCCTTGGCATTAGTGGTCCAATCAATGGTAGCTGACAAGTTTCTCATCCCTTTCCCATTTACCAGGATGGGAATGGATCGTGTGAGGTCAGTGTAGTTAGGTACGTAAAATCTGGAGTAGTTTGCCAGTCCCAAGAAGCTGAGCATGTGCTTAAAGGTTTTGGATGATGCAGGATGATAGAGCGGTGTAAGGAGCTAATGCCTGTGCCTTTAGCGGAAATAACACGTCCAAGGAAAGTGACTTGGGCACAGCAGCATTGAACCTTTTTCTGTGAGCATTTCAAACCTACCGAGTGTAGGTGTAACAAGAGAGAACGGGTAGCTGACAAACACGAGGCTTCCGTGAGGGCAGCAAGCAGGATATCGTCAACATACTGAACCAGAAAAATGCCCTCAGTGACGCAGAAAGTTTTGAGTAAGTCACGCAAAACAGAGTTGAAAATGCCAGGGGAGAGAACAAATCCTTGGGGCAAGCGAGTGTACGTGTAGCGTACACCCTGGAAAGTGAAAGCAAACATGTCCTGCAAGGAAACAGCGAGAGGAAGACAGAAAATAGCATTAGCAAGGTCAATGCACGTGAAATAGATATGTTCGGGTGTCAGGGGGGAGAGGGAAGCATGAGGAATTAGGAACAGGAAGTTGTGGGGTTGTGATGATGGTGTTAATAGCCCTAAGGTCATGCACCATACGGGATTTGCCCATGTCCTTCTTCAGGACAGGGAGAATGGGTGTGTTCCACGCACATGAGTCCGTTTTATGGAGAACTCCTGTGGCTAACAGACCAGAAATGGTGTCTGCGATCCACACCAAACCTTCCGGGGATGTTTGGTATTGAGGAAGGCAAACGGGACCCGATTGGAACTTAAAAGTGATGGGCGGGATAGAGGAACAGCAACCGACGTCAGTGGGGCCTGAAGACCACAGTAAAGCAGGTAAGCTATTCAACATAGCAGCAGCACCTTCAGCGTCAGAGGATTCCCTGCCATGGTGACTAAGAATGTGATTGTGTTCAAGAACAGACGAAACAGAAACAGATGGGTATAATATCTTGTAGGAGGATAGAGAGGGGGGAAAATGCAAGATGGGAACTGTGGTAGGCGACCAATCACAAGCATGGCCGCAGGAGAGGACCATAGGGCCTAAGTCTTTGGCTGAATGGTCTGCAGCTACTAACAATGTAATATGTGGAGCATAGGAAGCGACAGTGGGATCGGATGGGTCAGTCATGCGGTACCAAAGCTGTTGTTCACCAGTCAGA